ACTTGATGATCTCAAAGGTCTTTTCCTGCCAGAATGATTCCATGGTTCAAAGCAGTACAAAGTGCAAGAGAAAGGGTGTCTGTGCAGAGACCTGCAGCCTGAAGCTGCCCCAGGGTGAGGAGCAGGACGTCTCCCCGGCCGCGAGGCTCATGGACGTGAGGGACATCAGGGCTGCACGTGGCTGTCACCTCTAGGTCGATGGCAGGACACCTCTGAGCCCCTGTCCCCCCAGTGCGTGACAGCGTCCCCAGCACAGGGACACCCACTTGCCACCCCTGCACCCTGCTCCAGCTGCAGAGCAGTGGCCAGAGCAGAACCGCCGGTGCTGCTGTCTCTGCTCTGTCTCAAGTATCTCCACACCTTCTGCTCCGGACAGGCACGTGGGAAGACACGCAAGTGGGGAAGCCGGAGCTGAGACTGGTGCTCGTTGGTAAAAGTGGGAGTGGGAGAAGTGCAACGGGAAACACCATCCTCGGGTGGCCAGCGTTCGAGTCGCAGCTGTCGCCGCAACCGGTGACGCAGACGTGCGCGAGGGCGAGGACCGAGTGGCAGGGCAGGCGCGTGGTGGTCATCGACACCCCGGCCATCTTCGGCACGCTGCGGCCCGGCCAGAATTCCTACCAGGAGATCGCTCGCTGCCTGCTGCTGTCCGCGCCGGGCCCCCACGTGCTGGTGCTGGTGACCCAGTTGGGCCGATACACGGAGGAGGACAAGGTTGCTGCAGAGGACATCTGGCGCATCTTTGGGCAGGAGGCCAAGGGGCGCACGATCGTCCTCTTCACCCGTAAGGAAGACTTGGGAGGCGGCTCCTTAGATGAATATGTGACGGGCACCGACAACGCGGCTCTCCAGAGGCTGGTTCAAGGCTGCAGGAAGCGGTACTGTGGTTTTAACAACAGGGCGACTGGAGCAGAACGGCATGAGCAGCCCACGGAACTGCTGGAGCTCGCCCAGAGCGTGGTGGAGGCGAATGGAAATTCCCATTACACAATCCCACTCTACTCCCAGGTCAGCTCATTCAGCAGTGGGGATGAGAGAGATTTTGAAGAAAAATGCAGAGTCCTAGGGGAGCAAGTGGAACAAC